AGAATCTCTCACCTACAGAATATATTGAGTCCTTGAATAGTAAAAAGCAAAGAGAACAATGACTGAAAAAAAAATAGAACCGAAAATCCAAGGATTGTGGGACAACTATAACAGGTGTAACATATACTTAATGGGAATATCAAAAGAAGAAGAAAGATATAAAGGGATAGAATAAACATTTGAAACAATAATGGCTGAGAAATTCCCCAAATTCCCAAACTACAGATCCATGAGGCTCAGAGAAAACCACTCTAGATAATGGCCAACAGAACAGCACCCAGGCATATCATTTTCGGACTACCAAGGAAAAAAAAGATAAGAAAAAGTCAGTAAAGAAAAAACCCTTACCCTAATATAAAAACTCTTATATTGGAAGAAAGAATCACCTCTAGCTTCTCAGAAACCATGCAAACAAGAAGAAAATGGAGTGAAATATTTAAAATGCTTAGAGAAAAATAAAACAATCCAGAATTCTGCACCTGTGAAATTATCTTTCAAAAAGGAGAAATAAAAATAGTCTCAAAAAGACAAAAATAGGGAATTTGTTACCAATAGACCTACCAAACAAGAAATTATTTTAAAAGTTCTTTAGTGAAAAGAAAAATAACGTAGGTCAGAAGTACAGCGGTACATAAAGGAAGAACATAAGAAAAAATATATAAGTAAAGGTAAAATAAAAACATTTACTTTTCTAACTTTTAATTAATATAATTTGATCAAAATAATAACACCAATAATGCATTCAACTATGTAGCTTATGTATGCATGTACATACATACACACATATGGATGGATGTATACATATGCTTATATATCAGTGAAAAATAGACAGAAGTTATAAACATGAAGGTGCCATTCAGGAGGAATTAGGATTATTTTGTTATTACAAGGTACATGCACCATCTGTGAAGTGGTATAGTGTTTTTTGAAAGTGGATTTGGTTTAGGTGAAATGTATATTGCAAATTCTAGGGCAGCCACTAGAAAGGTAAAAAAAGAAATACAACCAATTTGCTAAGAAAAAACAGAAAAAAAAACAATGTAAAATAATTAATACAATGAAAGGCAGAAAAAGACAGAAGACAAAAACTGGAACAAAGAACAGGGGTAACAAATAGAAAACAATAACAAACATAATGGATAATAATCCAGCTATGTCTACAGTGATTCTGAACATGAATGGTCTAAATGCACTAATTAAAAGACAGATTGTAAGCACAAATCAAAAAAAATAAGACCCAACTATATGTTGGCTACAAGAAACCTACTTTAAATATAAAGACTCATGTGCTGTACATTAAATGTAAATGAATGAGGACCATACCATGCTAACACTAATTAAAAGATAAAAAGTGCATTACATGATAACAAAAAGGTCAATTCTCCAAGAAGTCACAACAATCTTTATTATGTATGACTCTAAGCAAAGAGTACTGGACTATATAAGGACAAAAGACTACTAAAATTACAAAGAGAAGTAAGAGAATCCTCTAACAGGGTTGGCAATTTCAACACTCCACAGTTAGAAGTACACAGATCTGGCAGACAGACAATCAGAGAGGACACAGCTGAACTCAGCAACACCATCAATCTACTGGATATCACTGACATCTACACACTCCATCCAACAACAGCAGAATGCACATTCCTCTCAAGTTTACATGGAATAGTCACAACATAGACCTCCTTCTGGACCATAAAACATAACGTAACATATTTGACAGAATAGAAATCATACAATGCCTGTTCTCAGACCACAATGAAATTAAACTAGAAATCAATAACAGAAAGATAAATGGAAACCCTACAAAGGAACTGTGTGTGTGTGTTAAGAAGCAAGTCCATTCTTCTGCAGACCACAGAAAGTCAGAAAGTTGAAGATTAAGCAAGCTTATGACTAGAAACGTGCTTTGAAAAAACAGGGCTGTTACACATGGATAGTATCAGAAGAGACCGGTAATAGATTCACGAGAACAATTAAACAAGAGACCCAGGAGGAGGTAAAAAGAACCTGAAACAGAGCAGTACAAATGGAGCAGAGCTGATGTGAGAAAACTACATACAGTGACTCCCTAATTCGTATTTAAAAATATAAAATGTATATCCTCAATCTGTCTATTCTTAACCTTCTTTAGTCTATCACTAACATTACTCGACTTAGAATACTGCAAATGACTCATTCCTAACTTCACCTTGACCCCACTATCAGAGCAGCCAGAATTACATTTCTAGATAGGACACCCCTGCTCACTACCCTCTAACAGCTTCCCATTGCAATTGGAATGAAATCCACACTGCCTACTGTGGTCTATATACAGGACTTGCTTGTCTGGCATCTGACCTCTCAATTTCCCTATGTAAATCACTCTCCTCCAGCCGTAACTGCGTTCCCTTTGTTCCTCTAAATACTGAGTTTGTGCGTATTTTAACCGAGGGACTTTGCACCAGCCATTTCCTCTGCCTGGAATGTTCTTCCCCTAGATCTTCACGTGATTGGCTTTAACATTTTTTGAGTGTATCACCTCAAATGTCATCTTCTCAGAGATGCCTTTTCTGATCACTATTCCTAAAGCAGCTGTCTCCTCCAGCTGTTCTATTACCCATCTTTATTTCTTCACAGCAATTACCACCCTCTACAATGGCCCCCCTTATCTATAAATGTGTACTGTGTCGCCCCACCACCAACCCCCTACACTAAAATGACATCCTGTGATGGCAGGACCCTGTCTGCCTTGTGCACCACTCTGTCCCTGCAATGCAAAGGGTCCACCTGGAACAGAATAGACAATCAATAGATAGACACAGTGTAACAATCACTGAGCTGTACTTCCTTTCTTCTCCTATTGCATCATGAGCTGCTTTACAGACTGGATTGAAAACCAGGCATTTTAGATCACGTAGTGCCTTATAAAGACTGTATTACCTAAAGTAGTAAAATTATTCAAGGTATGCAGCTTTTATGATTAGGCCATTTAGTGGCTTTAAAATAAGAATGACAGTTGTACCCTACAAGCTAAGTTACCTGCCACAAAATATACAGTGAGATGACAAGGAAACTTACTCTAAATGTGGAGAGGCCCATAGGGGAGCCTTCTGGGAGAAAGGTTAATGCAGCCTCCCCCACCTATGCCATGAACTACAAGGCTTCCCGGCTGCCTTCTCTGAATCTCGGGTTTGCTAACTTAATTAAAATGTACCACTGGAAGTAAATTATAAGGAAAACAATTAGTCATATATGTGATATATGTACACATATACACTTTTATAAGAAATATGCATAGAATATATGAACCCCAACAGTTATAAGAATACGGCTTCCAAGAAAGACTTTCTAACACAGCAAAGAAAAAATGTCTGAGCTAAGTAACCAAAATGCCGAACAGGCCTCCAGTGCCACTTCCTCCCTGGTCTGGCTATTGGAACTTTATTTTCCTTTTCTTGCTTGCTGTTTTTTTTAACCAACCTGTCTGTGTGGCCTCTGAGTGAGTCCATTTCCATCTAATAACAGTAGAGAGATGGATTATCATCCTTACTAGCCACTTCAGGCTGAAGTTGTCAAGTTTTCTAAGAAAACCGCCTCACATTTTTTAAAAAAGAGATACCTCTACTGCTTGGTTGGCAATATACACCTTGCATTTTGTTTTTTAGAGGCTTGTTTTACTGCCATTGATTACCTAGTATCTTAAATGACTGATGAGGAAATGCATTCTTTTTGTTTTATTCAACAAGCATTACCTGAGCGCCTCCTGTGCACCAACACGGTTTTCTGAGACTGATAGTGGAGACACCAAGCACTACTCCGCACTTCTGAGGGCAGCTTCCCCAGAACTGGTTACTCCTGGTAACTGGGTAACTGACGCTCATCAAAATGATACCATATCTCCCACCCCCATCGACTATTGCCAATTTTCTAAGAGTTGCTTGTAGTCATAATTCCTCTGAATTATTTTCATTTTATAACAAATTTCATGTGTTAAGTATGTAGAATAACCTTAATAGTAGTCCATGCCCTCTGATTATCTGTGCTTAGATCTGGAAAGAGAGGGATATCAGAAAGCCAGAGGCCTTGACACCATAATGGATCTAGCAGGAGTTGAACTAAGAGTGGGCAGACTGGCAAAGCTACATAAGGACTCAGAAGGTACCAGAGATACATGACTCTGCACATACCAGGCTCATCCGAGACCCCCACAATTAAATCAAATTTACTAATATGCATGTGCTTGTTTACAGTTTAAAGTATGAACATATTTATAACTATTACAACACACACTCATTCATATACAGAAACACTATGAGGAGATTACTATCATCCCCCTTTTTCAGAGAAGCATGCAGAGGAGAAAGACATTCATTGAAAGTAATTTGCCCAAGATTATAGCGTTATGTTTCTAGAATTTACTGGAGGCTCTTGCTACACAAATTCTATGTACTTCTTACTACTCAACCCAGAAAGATGAAGTCGATGTACAAAAAGTTATGGATATTGACTATATGCTAAATAAGAAACTACCTTTTCACATGGTAAATACTGAGCAGACTGAGAAAAGAGGTTGTTCTCAAATCTCAACAGCTTCAAGGTGAACAGAAATAAGAAGGGTAAAAATAATAGTTGTCATTTCTAAAAGTAATTTGGCTAGAAAGGAATTCAAAGGTGTAAAGCAAGAGATAAATCTTTCTAGCAATACCAATATTATGACTATATAATGTAACTTTAATCATAGCATATGACTCCAAATAATTATTGGAAATTGAAAAATGATTAAATATTATTTTAAGAGTATCACATTTATATAAGAGTATTATATAAATATAATTATTTGAAAAAGGACACAGAAATCTGTATTTTAAGAACAGAGAGTGATAGTTATCATCAAAACTTGGATAAAATAACTTTGTTATTAACACACGGCTCCTCTATGGATGTTGCATTTTGCTAAAATACAAAAAGGTGACACTAATTTGAATTGTTGAAAGTAATTTATAAATAGCTCTACATACGTTCTTGTGACATCCTGATCAATCATTGATCGAAGTTCTTTATCTTGGAAAAATTTGTTCCAAAGACTCTGAAATAAGGAGAACAGCCTATTTAAAATATTCTCATACCTTTGCTTGACTTTAATTATCTCAATTTAATAATTTAAATAATAACAGTTATCCTTCTCTGAGTTATTTCACATTGCAGATAGGAAACCTGAACTGGAGTAATCTTTATTAAAAGTTAGTTTACTTTCCAAAACACATCCTTATTCTAACATTTATTTTCCCAGTGATGTTACTGTTTAAATTTTAAATTTAATGTTTAAATTTTTTCCATTATCTATATAAAATGGGTGATACTTTTGCTGTTATATGCCCACTACTATCTACAACACCAAAAAGACCAGCTTGGATTAGAGCAGGGCCATGACCTGACCTGAATTCTCAATACTTTAAGAAAAATATGTAATCTGCCCTGGCTGGTGTAGCTCAGTGGATTGAGCGTGAGCCTGCGACTGAGAGGATTGCAGTTTGATTCCCAGTCAGGGCACATGCCTGGGTTGCAGGCCAGTTCCCAGCAGGGGATGCACGAGAGGCAACCATACATTGATATTTCCCTTTCTCCTTCCCTTCCCCTCTAAAGATAAATAAATAAAATCTTTTAAAAATACATAATGTTTTCTGCAAAGCTTGGTCTTCAAATAGATTTTTATATGCTTTTCAAAATGTGAATTTAAGTAAAGCTTGAAAATTTACTTAACAATATTTTATGCTGCTATACCACAGACCGTATTATAACAATTATGTGTATCGGAATAAAGAAATGTTAATATTACATATTACTTGGACACTTTTTTTCTGGTAGCAGGGGAATGAGGATTTAGAGCACTAATGAAAGAAGTTGTACAACACCTGTAAAGTAGTAATTATTCCTATTCTTCCTGAGAATATGAGTGAAGATAGGCCTAATCTTCTTCCTGATCTTTGAAAAAGTTCTTCATGGACTCACTACAAATGGTTTCCTTTCTTCTCGTGAGTTAGTCTTACCAAGTGAACCCTTCTCTATTTTCCTCATAAAGGGAGGCTGTCCTCCCTGCTCCCTACTGCAACCCTGGATAAAGCAGTTGCATCCTCTCCTTCAGCTTTTCCCTTTCCCCTTAGCTGTTACAGATCCCCTCAGACTTCCTCGTAGTCCACACCCAGGAAATAGATCATGTACTTCCTACAACAAGGGTGCCCATGGCAGGAAATAGGTCCCATCAGGTTTCAGGTGGGATAACATGCGGGGTTCCAAAACGTAGCTCCTTTTATGGTGACTGATAACCAGCTGACAAACATTAAAGACGGACTTTACCCCTTCATCCTGGGAAAGGGGATTATTGATCATCAAGTCCTGCTGGCCCACGACCTTCCTTGGGTTTGTGATGTGCTGGTAAAAAAAGAAAGAAAACACACAAAGATCAGAGGCCACTGGACATGAAAGCATACATTTAAAAACAATTATATTAATTAAAGTACAACTCACTATTTCTTTGATGTTGCTATACCATGCTCTTAGTTCTTTACTTTTACTTATCCACTGACTTTTATCTTGAGGAAGAACACAAAGAAATAGCTGTCAAGAGGAAAAAAAGAAACTTCTGTAAAAATCATAAGAAGTAAACGTGAAACTATGCCAACCAGAATCACCTGAAAATTGAGTTATTCATATTCCTGGTATTTCATATTCCTATCATAATTCTTGATAAATTACATTTGGATATATGTAAGAAATGTTTATTTGGACAATTCAAAATGTGAACAAAGGCCAAAACAAAAAACAAACCCAAGATCCCAAAAGCTACACCACAACATGTAATCAACTTTCTCTTCTGATTTTTATTAAAAGTGAACAAAAAATTCATTGAGGTTCAAGTATAATTTTGACTTTACAGTCCTGAATTGCTACGCTAGTGAAGTGGAGAAGTACTGTTTGGGGGGAAGAGAGGACATTAACAGGCATAAGGCCCAATGAGTAATTTTAAGGTTAAGATTTGTCTTCAATGAAGCAGGTAAAGTACAGAGAAGAGCAATCTGAGGACACAGCCTGAGAAGTGAAGTCATTCCTTTACAGGAGAAAATTTAATTTACAACTAGCAATCTGCTTATGAAAATAACAAGCATTCTTAAAAAGACAAATCTGATTTAATTTCATTTTATACAACATGAAAATAAATCTGGATTCGAGTTTATTTTCAGCAAATGAAGGGTACTAAAAGTTAAACAACAAAAAATGGGGGGGGTGAGGCACAAATATTTGTATACAAATTTCCATCAGTAGGTCTTCTGCCTTTACTGCCTGCATCTAACAGAAGAAAAATGTATTTTAATTATTAAATCTAAATTATTAAATCTAAAACTGTCTAATACATCAAGTTTTCTTACTGTCTTCACTTGCACACTCTGGATGCTCAAAGCATGCAAATCTACCCTAGAAAATTTTCAATAGAAATCATTCTAGAAATGAGACAAACCTAAATTAATTCATTTTAAGAGAAAGAGGGACAGTATTTCCAAGCAATTAAAAAGATAATTGCAGATTATTACTAGTTTTGCTAACCAATGGCCCTTTCTCTTGGAAAGACACTGACCTAATTTCCTTCCACTTCTTGCTGCCCTACACTTTGTGTTTATAGTAAAAGAGACATAAAAATTCTTTTCTATCTGCTCTTTATGAAGACAAAAGGGAAGATGACTAAACAACGGCATAAGATATAATAGAAACGTGAAAGTTAATCCCCTCTGCTCCTGCCCAGCATCAGGAATCTCTGCAAAGCCTGTGGGGAATGTGAAGGGGTTGCTCTGAATTCTGGCAGCATCAAATGAGATGAAAAGACAGTTATTTCAAAGGACTCCTTTACCACCACCGGTTACTCAGAATTAAGGTGCTTGAACCTCATCAGTAAATGTCCTATGAAAGATAAATATGGATGGCCAAAAAAATCGAGAGTGAAGTCTCTTGGAAAATGCAGTGATCCCCTGCATGGGTAGTCTTCCAGGGCATCAGGTAATATGTCGATATACTGCAACCACAAACTGTAAATAAATATTTTCTTCTTACCTTCCAGCAAATGCTGCGGAACCTGCTGCTTCTCAGCTGCCCATTAATCCCCTTCTGCCTTATTGTTGCCAAGTAATTGTTGTTTACAAATAGGTCTTCCCATTCTTTCCTATATGCGAGAAACCAAAGCATGGGGATCCTTTTGTTAAAATTCTGCTGCTTGGAGGGAAGTGCTACAGGAAATTAATTTTAAATAAGTCTAAGAAATGCAACTTTTAAAACGTATAAATTTAGTTGTGCACTGTTTCTGAACGCATGACTGTCTTTTTGGACCGAGTTCTTCTGTAGATTTAATGAATATGTAGATCGCTATAATTATGCCAGCTACCGAAATACATAATGTCTATGGAGGCTATTCCATTCCCTCTAAAATGTTGGTAGTGCAGTTCAGTGGAAAGACAAGATAAAAATTGAATATTAATACAAGCTTATGACTGCTTTAAGCCATTGACAAAGACATACATGCTCCAAAAACACAATGAAAAAGTGTATTGTTGGTTTTGTTGGATTTACACATGAAATAGCTGTTTAAATGAACCCATTTCTCTTTAATATCAGGCTGGGCAGGTAAATATAACAGAAGACCACTTTCTTTAACTTTTAGTGCTATTTACTGTTAAAATCTCTGCAGCTTCTTTCTACATGATCAGTTTTAAAATTTTAACAGGTGCAGGCAAATTTGAAAAAAAATCAAAAAATTAAAAAGCCTCACTGTAAAAACTGTTACAGGCAAGCTTGAGTACCTTGCAGTACCTATGGCTGAGTAGATAAACAACTGAAATATGCCTCCCAGGCACGCAGACACCAGGGGCCTAACACCTGTGCCTCATTAATATACAAGTAAATCTGCTCTACTGGGAAACAATTGGAAATTAATTGTCCCAAACCATTTACTGAGTTTGAATAAAGGAAGTAGACTTATATTCTCGGCATCCTGCACCAAACTAAACATCAAGAATCATTTGTCAACAGTTGAGGCAACTGAGTACAGCTTTATTAAATTTCTTTCAGATATTATAATGCTACAAGAGATGCATAATTTCAAATTTTTAAATCAAAGCTAAAAGCCCAGCAATGTCTTCAGAGATTTTAGAAAAAGAAAGCCCCTAAAACCTCAATCATTCTTCCACATACACATGCAGTCGTCACTGACCAGACCCTGCTCCTTCTGAGAAAGGACGGCCTTCCACACTACGCCGTCTGAGGCAGGGCAAGGTAAGTAACTGTATACCTGCAGCTCAAAACCCAGGCTGTGGAGCAAGCTGCATCTGCTCCACAGTACTCCAGAAGAGCGACCAAGACAATGCAGCGGAATTCCCTACTGTCACAAGCAGGACACCTTCCAGCCTCAGCCCTGGGGCATGATCCCCAGCCACACAAAGCCTTTGTCAGCAGGGCCTTCTCCGTCAGGACTCTGAGAGGGACACTCACTCCGGAAATACCCTCCCACCACCGCTCCGAGTACACTTCCTACTCTCACCACTGCATTTGTAAGAGAAATAATATTTCCTGTGTTTGAACTGGCACTTGTACCATTAATGAAACTGGACATTTTTTATGCTTTTAAAAAATATATGTATGTATTTTTAAGCCAATCATCTTTATTCTTCTACACTCTGAAGCTTTTTAATTTGTATTAATTTATAATATAAACCTAACATTAATTTCTCCTGATGATCTGTCAATTGTTTTCATGCTTAAGTAGTTCTTAGCTACTCCAAGTTCAAAGAAATGTTCACTGAAATCTTAGAGTTTTAAAAACTACTTTAGTCTGTTTGTATTACCTATAATATTTAAAATATATTACCCAGTCCCAACTATTTCATGTATATTATCCATCTCTCTCACTGTTCAGGTTTTGTTTTTACCCAGTTTTTAGTAACGCTCAAAGATGAGATCAGCAGTGAGCACGCAGAACGTTAGAGGGGTGCATCTCAGAAACTGCGTGTTTACACAGCTCGCGGTCTGGGAACAAATAGCACAGATTTCAGATGTATTTTAAATCCAAGAGGAATCAGAATTTGTGAAGAGATGATGCAGTTCCAGAGCAGTTCCAGTGAAACCACCGATACATTCCAGATCAGAGACGGAAGTATGAGGCAATGACTCCCCAGCCTCTTGCAAAATCAGCTTCTATTCACAGGTATTGTGAAAGTAGACCCAGCTGGTGGCTAGATTCGCTGCCATCTTGTGAAGTTCAGCAGCCGTTTAAGGTCAAGTTACATACTACTTATGTAACGAGGGATAATCATTTGTTAGCTTAAATAAGATCCTGTGCCTTGATTTACGGCGCTGGTAAAGAGAAAAGGAGACCCAGACATGAAATGGAAACGCTATCTCTGAACTTCACAATCAGGGAAATTTATTTGTGGCTACTCATAGTTCCGGTTAGGGCACAACATCTCAAACTGATGGGGAGTTCTAACAACAGAGCAACACAAAGACTACAAGATAAGCTATTCACTGTCTTTCTCTTCTATGGAATAGTTTTGTTAATAAACTGTGATACCAAATATATGTAACAAACATATGGTGCCTACTATGTGCTGATGACTCAGAGATATTTTCTTTTTTTAAAAAAAATATTTTATTATTTATTTTATTTTTCAAGAGAGGGGAAGGGAAGGAGAAAGAGTGGGAGAGAAATATCAATGTACGGTTGGTTGGTTGCCTCTCGTGTGTCCCCTGCTGGGAACTGGCCTGCAACCCAGGCATGTGCCCTGACTGGGAATTGAACCGTGATACTCTGGTTTGCAGAGATATTTTCTTAAAATCATAAAGTTAAGGGAGTAGACATATGTGCAAACCAGTAACAATATGATTAAGATACAGTAGTCCAGCAGTGCAGAGGAGGGAGAAATAGTTTTATACCCATATATTAAACTCAGTATAGAAAATAACAACTAGCAGCACTATGAGCACTGAAATGCTCCATCTAAGAACTGTCAGAGGTTCATCGGACCCCAAAGGGTAGAACGTTGAAAAGTTTAGCCCTTTGCGGGGGGAGTGGGCTGCTGAATTTGGAAGAAAACATGGGGAAAGGACAGTAAGTACTGAGGAGCGAGTGGTGAAATTTTCAGTTTAATTAACAAAAAATAAAGAAAAGGTAGTTGCTAAACTTCCTCTTATATTTTAAAAAATATATAGTGTACTTGTAGTAGCAAAAAAATGGCAATAATGCTATTAAAATGCCTAAAAATCCATCTGTCATAACACATATGATTTTAGATATATCACTTTTAACCTCTAAAACAACACTCTCTGGGTGTCTATTTTTAATCCTCTCTATAAGTGAGGAAACTAAGGCCCAGAAAACGTAAATATGCTGTCAAGAGACAAAAAGAAATGAGAATTACCTTAAGCATCTTCCCGGAATAACAAGGAAGACAACAGGACAGGGGAATGTGATACTCCAGACATGGAAGACAAAAATTGTCCCTAGCAACAAGGCAGGAAAAATATAAATGTGCCCTTATACTTTCTTCCTTAGATTTTTAGTTTTTGAACATCAAGTCCAAGGGTATAGAGAAAATTTTTCACCAGTTGGACTGGGAAGGTAAGGCAACAGCTGCTGTGAGTGGTTAAAGATTTCCATCCACATTTAAATGTGTAAATGCCTCAGGGAACAGATGAGACCTGGGCTTTGAGGACTCTCTTGACATAGCCCTAGTGCCATCTAGTGGCAATTACTCTGCCTTGCAGGCACTGGGTCCCTGAAAACATAACCAGCAGCTCAGCAGAGAGAGTAAGTGATGGTTTCATTTCTCAAGCCAATATTAATGTATTAGCAGTGGCTGCCTTGGAAACGTTGTGTGGAGAAGGATTCTGAGCCTACTCCTGTGCTCCTCAGAAAACACTGTTACTAATTTAAAATGTTGGCCATGAGCACTGCAATCATTTCTAAGCAAATGAAATCAACTTTTCAGCAGCAGTAATTGATGCCTTCCCGCTAAGACCTACTCAGGTAGTTAAGCCTCCTGCAACAGTTTAAAACAACAGCAACATGGAAATTAACTAGAATATGCAGAGAATAAATACAGCTGATGATCATAAGGAACTATGTACTTCTAACTATGTATTTTAAGGTAGTATTTTCCAAGCTATGAACATTAGTATGAAACTAGTTAAAATCTTCTAGATATAATTGTTTAAATATTTGTATGACCTAAATAATGCATAAGTGACAGTTCCCGTGGCAACACCAGACTATAAAACTTCTGAATCCTTGTCCCAAATGATGATACACTAGGGAAAACGTTTTAATATGTGTATTTGCTATGATAGCTTCTACTCCATTTTCAGGCATTATTTGGACAAGTGTGAATATCTCTATGGATCTAAAAGTTATTCCAGTATTCTGGAAAACTTAAGAAATCCAAACAAAGACAGTAATCAAAAAGAGCTCAGAGACTACATAGAGTCTAATTCTTAGAATCTTCAATATGTACTTGGTTTAGAGAAGCTACTTTGGACTTTACTGATAATGAAAGCTGCTGAAAGCAGACAAGGGATTATCTCTGGGGAAGCTCAACACATCACAGAGGACGGCAAAGGAGGGAGGGAGGACGGTTTCTGGTTGTCGGGGAAGTGTCCCACGGGGCAGGGGTGCCGGGGGAGTTCTCAGAGACCACCACCGTGTAGTTTAGGGGCCTGGCTGGTGGGCACGATCATCTCATTTTTGAGGTCTGACTAGAATCATAGTAAAACCAAAGGCCAGGGCAGGATGAAGGGGATCCTGAGGCAGGATAAGCTCAGAGTCAGATGGGGAGAACATTTGAAGGTGAGGAAGCACAAGGTAAAAAGTGAACCTGATGCAAAAAGGTTTATACATTTTTATAATCCTAACGTACATGCCAATATTTGAAAGACTGCCCTATTATTATCATCATACTTGCCTTATCAAATGTAGGGCAAAAGGAAATAATAAATTTTTAATCTGTTTCTAATCTGTCTAGAAACAGTGGGAGATTTACAGCACAATCCCAATAGTCCACGTAGAAGAGTAGGTAGCTTCAGTGAGTTTAAAGGTATCATTTAAAAATATTATTCCAATACAACAGGGAACATCTAAAGTAAAAATCAACGGAAATACGGGAAGTGTAAATTAGG